ATGTAAAGGGTCTTCCCTTCTTTTTGACAATGACAAAGGGGGAGATAGCTAGCTTGCACAAGTCAAGAAGATGCAAAAACTTGATTGCTAGCTTGCCTATCTTAAGTAACAAAGATTGCTAACTTGCTTATTTCAAGAAGCAAAAGTTGTCTTCTTAAGCATCACTATCTTGCCTATCTCAAGAAGCAAGACTTGCAACCTGCACATTACAATAGGAAGCAAGAATCGATAGCTTACACACTTCAACAAGAAAGCTATATTGTATTTGCTTTTGAAATTTTTGCTACCTTGTATGTTGCAAAACTTGCTCACTTTTTCAAACACTTTGCTAGCTTGTACTTTGTAAAGGAAGCGAAAATAGCACTTCTCAAAAGAGAAGAAAGAACTTATTATCTTGAACATCACAAAAAATTTGCTACCTTGCATGATGTAAAATTTGCTAAGATCACTATCTCAAAAAAAAGGCAAATGTGCTATCTTGCCTATCTCAAAATACAAAACATGCTACGGAAGCAAAATTGCCAGCTCAAACATTGCAAAGGAAGCAAAAATTTACTAGCTTACAACTTGCATATCATGAAAATTGCTAGCTTGTAGTCTAAAGAGAAGCAATTAGTTGTTATCTCAAGAAAGGCAAACATGCTAAACTTACACATCTTTAATTGCTAGATTGCATGACAATAAAATTTGATACTATGTTTTTCATGCAATGTATGGAACTTTTTTTCTCTAAACACATAAGAGTAGGAACTTCTCCTTTTTGTTGATGACAAAGGGGGAGAAGTATATTGATGACTTCATGCATTAAATTGAATATTTTATATATTTGCATGATGGTTTAAATGTTTATCAGAACATGTGATGAATGTTACTTAGATTTAGGATAATCCAAGTGTTCTATCAATGACATATTGATAGGGGGAGTTTGGTTAAACTCCGGGGAGTTAAGGTTAACTTCGTTAGTCATCAATTAGTTGTCATCATCAAAAAAGGGGAGATTGTTGAATCTCGGATTTTGATGATGAAACTAATTGATTGTGTTTAGATGTTTAACTGCATTTTGAGTGATGAAGGTCTACTCGATCAGGATTAGACAGTTAACGCAGGAGGAATTGACGTTGCGCCGGAGGAGATCACATCAGGATATTAGACGGCAGAAGGCTTCGAACGTCGGGCATCGGGCCAAGGAGAGCGGGATTGCACCAAGGATATCGGGGTTGCGGAGGTCAACCGCCGATTGGGCAACAAGCCGCAAGAGAGGACGATGCGCTGAAGAATCGGACGAAGCGCCAACCAATGACATGCCGGGCAACATAATGTCAATTCGCGTTGTAATAATTGTCTAGATCGGAGTAGAGTTTTGGTTTGTGTGTGCAGGATTAACCACGATAATGACGAAGACAGAAAGCGAAACAAAGTGTCGAAGTCAAGCATGAAGGATTTGTTGCAAGTTCGAGAGTTCGACGGAAGTCCGAAGGTTCGTCGGGAATGCTGCAGGAACTAGCCGAGAATGAGTAAGGGAGCTTGCCGAAGGGTTTTTCGGAAGCTCGTCGGAAAGTTCGTTGGAAGTTCGCGGAGCTCACCAAGAAAGATCAGAGCTTGCCGAAGAAGCTCGTTGGAACTCGCCAAGATCAAATCGTGAAGTCTAAGAGCTTGCCGGGAGTCCGCAGAATGGTTTCCGAGAGTTTATCGGAAGACTACCGAAAGTATGCCGGAAGCTCGCCGGAAGAAGTCTTGACTTGCGGACTTTGTAATAGCTTAGGAAATATCTTTAAATTCATAGTTAGCACATTAATTAGGATTAGGATTAAAAGATAATCCTATATCCTGGTTAGGGGCCAACTGGGCCCAAAATTTGACTTGGTTTGGGCTGAACTTAAGGCCCAACGTAAGGGTCTGGCGGTGGCACCGCCAGACTGGGCGGTGGCACCGCCCAGCGCCCGAGAGCCAGGCGGTGGCACCGCTTGGCTGGGCGGTGGCACCGCCAGTCCACTGTCAATGTCACACACTGACAGGCGGTAGCACCACCACTAACAGGCGGTGGCACCGCCAGCATCGGGAACCAAAGAGAATTCAAATTTTGGAGCCCAAATTTGAATCCTCTTGAGGCCTATAAATACCCCTCAATTCTCATGAGAACACAACTTTTTGAGAAGCAATTGATTGAGAGAAAGGTCTTAGAAAAGTCTTAGCAAGTCTTGTTTTCAATTTGCTAGAGTGTTCACCTCCTTCTTTCTTGCTGAAAATTTGTAAGAGTGTGAACCGCTTGTAAAAAGTTGTAAGAGGGGTATTTGCCCTTCCCCTTCAAGAGATTTGCTAGTGGAAGGTGGGAGCCTCATCGAAGAGGACCTCGTAAATGGATGTAGGTCATTTGACCGAACCACTTTAAAATCAGCGTGATCTCTGGTTTGCATTTCATTATTGCTATTTACATTACTGCAAACCTTCTTACGTGTTTTATTTCCTCATTACCTTTGCTGCATACCTTTATGAACATGCGTTCGAGTTAATCTTTTCAAGTTCGGTTATTATCGTATCAAAAGATTTGTCGAAACGAAAGTTTTAATCCGCTGCACTAATTCACCCCCCCCCCTCTTAGTGCCGCTCCAATCCTAACAGAATATTTATGATATATGTTTAAAAGCGAATATTTATGATATATGTTTAAAAGCGAATTGGTCTTATTATCATGATTTCATCATGACTAGTTCTCATTGCATATATCCAAGGAAATCACAATATATATTCATTATATAATATAAAGAGAGAAAATATTATTATTAATATTAACTAAAAGAAATTATGTAACATATCACATGTGTCATCACGCACGTGATTGACTTTTAAGGTACCTATAACTAGCAAGAACATCTACGTGGACACCCTACCATAATCATGATCGAACTTGTTGAATCTCGGATTTTGATGATGAAATCAATTGATGAGTTTATAATCTAATTTGTATTTTAAGTGATACAGGACTAGCTTCGATCAAAAAGAGACAAATCGATTGAAGTAGGAGGAATCGAACGTTGGGTCAGAGTTGAACATATCAAGAGATTGGATGTCGGGCCGGAGGATCGGTCGACGTACCAGCAAAAGGACTTTGTGTCGTGAGTTCGGGCATCGGGCCAAAGGATTGGACATTGCACCAAGGAGATCGAAAGTTGCAGGAGTCAACATGCCGATTGAGCAATACGCTGAAGGAGAGAACGATGCACCGAAGGATCGGATGAAGCGCCGGAAGAACCGATGACTTGCCGGACAACATATGATTCGTGCTTTGTAATAATTTATCTAGATTAAGCTAGTTTAGGTCTAATTGAGTCGGTATTAGAATGAAACAATGCCAACTCAATTATGAGCCCATCGGGCCTGAGTTGGGATTGTTTTGGGCTAAGTAAGGCCCATACAGCAACTCTCAGCATGCCTAAGTTATGGCACTACTTGGGACTCGGTCTCCCAGGTTGTTTGGGTGATGGTACCACGCAAACACGATCTTCAAGATTGTGTCAAGCAGTGGTACTGCCCAGTGTCAGTTTCAGGCTGAGCGGTGGTACCGCCCAGTGTTAGATTGACAGACGGTGGCACCGCTAGTTGTTAGTTTGTCAGGCGATAGTATCTCCAATACCCAGAAAACTTGAGATGAGATCGTTTTGGCTCTAAATTTGAATCTGTTTGGGACCTATAAAAATCTCATTCATCCTTGCTCAATGAACGCACATAAACAGAAAATAAAAATTGGGGAAAACATTATTATAATCTTGTGAGAATTCTCCTCCTATAGCTCTAAGTGTTGATTTCAATTGAAGAGAGGGGTGAGTGGGTTATAAAGGTTATCTCCTAAACTTGTAAAATGGAGAAAAGAGTTGTAAGAGGGTAGTTAGGCTTTGCTCATTGAAGGAAAACCGTTAGTGGATGCCGATGGCCTCAACTGAGGAGGAATCGGGATTAGACGTATGTCACGATGACTGAACCACTATAAACCCAGTGTACTCGGTTTGCATTTCTGTTATGCTTTTCATTCTCATATTGCAAACTGATTTACTTGCTTACTACTCTCACTATACTTACGAACACGCTTTCAAGTTAAACTCTTTTCCGATATCGATTTTCATCGAATAAGAATTTTCAAACCGTTATTTTTATTATAAGTACTAATTCACCTCCCCTCTTAGTGTCGATTTTGAACCTAGCAGATCTAAGCTATGCCGACTCCGATACCATTATTTGGAAAAAAAATTAAAACAATTGGGCAACATCTTTTTTTTTAATCTTTAACTTTGATACCATTATTAGGAAAAAAAATTAAAACCAAATTGGGTAAGCATTATTAAGCTAAATAATAAAATTAAATATCAAAATCAATTGAAATAATAATATCAATATATAGCATGATAAAATCCTTAATTGAATGAACAAAATATTTAGGTAAATTAAAAAATATTCACCATAAAATATAGGTGTACAATCTTCTCGGAGGAGAGATAAGATATATTTTCTCTTATAATATAAGAAATAGAGAAAAAAGAAACTCAGAGGAAAAATAAAAAAGCCACAAATGAAACGTAAAACTTCCCATCTCTCTCTCTCTCTTCCTCTCTGATTTGGGCTGATCGCATCTCGGTACGTTAGAGGTTGCAGCCACTCACGGCAGATGAGGTTGCGTCGGATGCAATCACCCACGCGAAGGTTGAGATGAGAATCATGAGAGGTTGCAACCACACTCAACCTCTCATCTCCATCTTACCCCTTTTTTTCTTCCCTTAATTTTCTGTTTTATCTCTTCACATGTAAAATATGATTTAGATTCCACAAGGAGATATGCGGATACAACCAGGACCTGAGCCCATCAGATTTGAATTGGAAGTGCAGAATACATCCCTAAACTATTTTTCTTAATTTTCCGTTTTATCTCATATTTTATATTCCACGAAGCATCACGACGAGGTATGAGGAGACATCGACGACCTGAACCCGTGAGTACTGAAATGGGAGTGCAGAACAACCACCATCAATTAAAGACTAAAATATAGGAGCGATGATGTCAGATCAGGCAACTTTTCCGAAGCATTTCTAATTTATGAGAATCCCATCGACTTCCTCCCATTGACTTCCTCGCTCTCCGTTTCTTCTCTCTGATAGTTCGGCGTTTCGCTTTGGGTAGGAGGCATAGCCATGGCCGATGACGCGAGTCAGCCACTCCGCGTCTTCTTCTTCCCCCTGATGAGCCCCGGCCACATGATCCCTATGATCGACATCGCCAAGCTTTTCGCCCGCCATGGCGCCGCCGTCACTGTCGTCACCACACCCGGCAACGAGCCCCTCGTTCGCCCAGCCATCGATCGCCGCCACGACGGGACGCCCGTCGTCGACCTCCTCCTCCTCCCCTTCCCTGACTCCGTCGCCCACCTTGTACCCTCCACAGGTGAGCACCTCGGCGCCATAACTACTGCAGAGCATGCAGACTTCATGAACGCCGTGTTCGCCCTCGCCGGCCCCCTCGACGACCTCCTCCGCCAACATCGCCCCGACTGCCTCGTCTCCGATGCCATGTTCCCTTGGACCTCCGCCACCGCCGCCCAACTCGGCATACCTCGCCTCGTCTTCTACGGCCCCGGCGCCTTTCTCCTCTGCGTCCATCGGAGCATCGAGTTCCGCGGCCACCACGCCGCCGTCTCCTCCCGTTCCGAGCGCTTCGCCATCGAGGGACTCCCCCACCGCATCCACTTGGAACCGTCCGAGATCTCTCCCATCTTCAAGTTCACCGAGATGGTGCTCCAGCAAAGAAAGGCGGAGGAGAGTAGCTTTGGCGTCCTCGTCAACAGCTTCTACGAGCTCGAGCCGGACTACGCCGATCTCTTCCGCAAGGAACCCGTCACCAAGGCGTACTACGTAGGTCCGGTCGCCCTCTGCGACCAGGAGAAGGAGGCCCAAAGGGGCAGCCGGAGCAGTCCGCACCTCGGCCGCTGGCTGAGCTGGCTCGACTCCAAGCCGGCGGGCGCCGTCGTCTACGTTTGCTTTGGTAGCCTCTGCGAATTATCTAATGACCAGTTCAAGGATCTCGCGCTCGGACTCGAGGCCTCCGGTCATCTGTTCTTGTGGGTGGTGAGGGAAGGCGCCGGTTGCCCGCCGGCGTGGCTGCCGGACGGGTACGAGAGGCGGGTGGAGGGGAGGGGACTGGTGATCCGAGGGTGGGCACCACAGGTAGCGCTCCTGGGCCACCCGGCGGTGGGGGGTTTCGTGACGCACTGCGGGTGGAACTCGACGCTGGAGGGGTTGACTGCCGGGAAGCCGATGGCGGCGTGGCCGTTAAATTACGACCAGTTCGTTAACGAGAAGTTACTGACCGAGGTGGCAGGCGTCGGAGTGCGAGTGAGGCGGAGCGAGGCGGTGGGTGCGGCGAGGGTGAGGGCGGAGGAGGTGACAGCTGCGGTGCGGGAGCTGATGGGGGGAGGGGAGGCGGCGGCGGAGAGGAGGCGGAGGGCGAGGGAGTACGCAGCGATGGCTAAAGCGGCGATGAAGGAAGGAGGGTCGTCGTACCAAGACATGACGTGTTTGATGGAGGAGCTGATGGCGTGCCGGGAGCGCAAACCAGGAGGTGCGTTGAACGGAGATGTCGGACTATAGATCTCCTCATCTGCGTGATGCTTCGCTGGTCAACACTGCTGTTGCTTGTGTTTTCATGTTTTATCTGTTCGGTTCCATGCAAACATTGATTATCAACACGCATCAGCCTACAAATAATATGCAATCAATTACTTTTTTATCTTATCTTGATGATTAAATTCCTCGTGATGAAACTATTATGCAGCGAGATCAATCGTCGGTTGCAAGGTCAATTACCCTTCACAAGCGTACTCGATGTCTTGACTCGCTCATGTAATGATTTTATCGAACATCTCAGATTATGTTCTCTCCTGTGCATACGTGACCAACACTTGCATAAAAGACTTTTCATAGCAGTAGGAGTAGTGTTAAGACTCTAGCTAATAGGAGTCATATTAGGAGTTGGTTAGAAATAGAAGTCTTGAGTATGAGTCTTATTATCAGTTAGGGTTTATAAGTCCTATAAATAGCGATGTATTCTTTCTATTTTAATAAGCAATAGATGAATCTTTTCTACAGCCTTTGAGCAGTAACTTGGAGGGGGAAACCCCTATAGAGTTTCAAAGAGGCTGACCCCCTAAAGAGATCAACCCCTTGTATCAGAGCAGCGTTCTTGGTGTTTCGCTGCCCTTCCACAGCCATCCATTAGCCCTCCACAGCCGTTCAAAGCAATTTTCACAATTGCTAAAAAAATCGTCATCAAATTTCGTTGTCATCTCCACCACCGCGGATCATCCTCTTATCTCCTCATGAATTGCAACAAGTTTTGGTTTCCTACCTTACTGCTGTTGCAATTTAGTTATCCTTAAAAGTTTAGAATCTATAAGGGTTCTAACACCAGGTATTCGAGCAGCGTTCTTGGCGTCTCGCTATCCTTCCACAGCCATCCATCAGCCCTCCATAGCCATCCAAAATAATTCTCACAATTGCTTAAAAGATCATCGCCAAATTCTACCGTCATCTCCACCACGGTGAATCATCCTTTGATTTCCCCGTGAATTACAATAGGTTCTAGTTTCTTACCTTACTGCTGCTGCAATTTAGTTATCCTTATTCGAATATCAAAAAAAAAAATTGTTCCTATATTGCTGTATAAACTTTTCATCGTAAAGTTTTCATCTTTACGACGAAAGATACATTGCAGAATTTCAACCGCATAGCATAATCTGTTTGATCTTGCTACTGCGTTTTTTCTGTCCAAATCTCTACAAAATTTTTATGACAGCTTTGACACTTCCTAATAGCATATTTTCCTTTAGTTTCGTCAAAAAATTCTCAATATAAACCACTAATCTTTTACGTCAAATCTGCTACACTTGAAAATCTGTGCTATGGAAAATTACAACCGCATATTGTTTGCCTTAACCAATCTATTTGCAATCCTTTTTCTTATACACTTCATCGATCATCTTGGCTTCCATCTGTTAGGATCAAGAGCAACACTAGAGGGGGGGGGGTGTGAATTAGTGCAGCAAAAAATTCTTCAATTTCATAAAATATTTCGTACAATGGAAATCGATTTGGAAAGATAGCAACTTGAGATGTAAGAGAACGTAAGCCTAGTGAAAGCAAGATGAGGAGGAGAAACAGTTTGCTATGAAATAATTTATAGTTAAAGTAAATTGCTTAAAATGAAATGTAAACCAGAATTTAGAGTGGTTCAGTCAATGTGACCTATCCACTTTCAGATTCCTCCTTCATCGAGGTCACCGACATCTACTAAAGGCCTTCCTTCAATAGGTGAAGACAAATCACATTTTACAGCTCTTTCTCCTTTTTTCGGGTTTAGAAGAGAACCCTTACAAGTCTCACACCTCTCTTGAATGATCTCAAAACTTAGAAAGGGAGGAGGAGAACTCTAGCACTTGTTTACAACACTTTTACACCCCAATAACTCAAGATTAACACTTCGGTGCCTTTTAATGTAGAAAAGGGTGAGGTATTTATAGCCCTCAATGGCTTCAAAAATGGAGCTAAAAAGTGTCTTATCCTGATTTCCGAGGTACTAGCAGTACCACCGACATTACTGGGTGGTACTACCGCCTATAGTCTGACACTGGGCGGTACTACCGCTTAGTCTGGACGGTACCACTGCTTAATAGAGCTCGGAGACCGAACTCTGGTGGTACCACCGCCCAGACCACCTGGGAGACTAGGTCTTCTAGGTGGTGCCACCGTCGGCCCTAGCGGTGCTACCGCTGGTTAGAGTCCAACAACCTGGTTGGGCCTTGTATTCGGCCCAAACCATCCTAGCTCCATGCCCAATTGGCCCCTAATAGAGTTGATGAGATTACCTCCTAAATCAACTCTAATTATTGTTCTAACGATGATTAAGGCAAGCATGGTCCAGTACGTCGATTTTTCACTCGGTGATCCTACGGCGAACTTCTTGGCGAATCTTTCGATGAGCTTCTAACGAACTCCCGACCAACTCTCGACTAGTCTTCCGGCATGCTTCTGGCAATCTCCTGATGAGCTTTCGGTGAGACTTCCAGTGTGCTTCCGGTGATCTCACGATGAACTCTTCGCGAGCTCCCGATATATCATCCAAGTCTTCGACTCCGGCCCATAATCTGCTTTATGCCTTACTGCTATCGTAATTAATCCTACACACTTATCTCAACACATGGATTAGATCAAATAATTTACCAATTGATTTCATCATCAAAATCCGAGATTCAATAATCTCCCCTTTTTTTATGATGATAACCAATTGGTGATGGAGTTAATCTTAACTCCCCCTATCTATATGCCATAATTATGAAAAATTACTCTTGAATTCAAAGCCTTTGAATTCAAGCATCAAATTGATAATTTAGACTTATTATCATCATGCACATCATGATTTACCAAATCTAAAGATGATACCATGTATTCGTCGATTGAAATGATGTTAAAGCTTGACATCCATTTTCGAGTCAAAATCACAGAAATTTTTAGCTTCAAAGTAAGAACGACATTGCATCATCATACTCATCATTTAAAGAGATAACATGGAAATCAAAGTACAGAATTGCAATCATCAAAGTAAGTAGCATTTTAAGTTTACAACATCAAGATAAACTGTTAGGATCGGAGCGGCACTAAGAGGGAGGGGTGAATTAGTGCAGCGGATTAAAACTTCGATTTTAATCAAAATCTTTCGTACGATAAGAACGGAACTTGAAAAGTTTAACTTGAAAGCGTATTCTTAAAGTTGCGCAGCAAGGGTAATAAGGCACTAAAGTAGTAAGAAGATTTACAGTAATGTAAATGACAATAATAAAATGCAAACT